CCCTTCCGTTAGCTAGCCTTCCCCCATTGTCGGCCACGGTGCGATGGGGCGGGGGGCCCCATCCAGCCTCCCCCTGGCAGCTGTGCGCGTCTAACCGGCTCTTTCGCATCTCGGGGGGGGCTGCACCGCCTCATGCCAGTGTCAGCCTCCTGTGCTGCAAGCTGAGCCCGTCGCTTTTTGTCCTGCCTTCAGAGACTACGGAGGGTAATTTGTCTCTTTCCTCCTTGTAGCTACTTGAAAGCTGCTGCTGTGTCTTCCCGCAGTCTTCTCCTTCCCAGTTTTTTTCTATTGTCTCTCATAGACGGTATGTATGAGTCATGTAAAAACTTTTAATACTTTCTGGACTTTTTCTGATTTTTCTACGTTTCCTGAACCATGGCAATCAGAACTGGACACTACTCCAGTTGACGCCTGCTCAGTGTGGAGTAGCATGGAAGAATTACTACTCGTGTCTTGTTTACAACATGTTTGCTTACAGAACAATATTTGCTTTTTTTGCAACAGTATTACACTGACTCATATTAAACTAGTGAGCTCAGATTCTTGGGCTTCCTCATTTAAAAAAAAATGTTTGGTGTTCCTCCGTCTTAAAAAGTTTAAGAAACAGTGATGTAGAGGGTATCATGAGCTTTCGTGGGTACAACCCACTTCTTTAACTCTGGTCATCTGAAGAAGTGGGTTGTACCAAAAAAAGCTCATGATACCATCTACATGTTTTGTTAGTCTTTAAAGTGCTACCAGACTATTTGTTGTTTTTTAAGGTTTTCCTGTAACAGACTAACTCGGCAACCCCTCTGAAGCTTTTTAAAAAATAACCTTTTGCAGCATACCATGAAGGTCAAAAAGCTTGGACAACTTCAGCCCAAAGAAGGGGAGACCCAAACACATGGGACACATAAATATCTTTGCTGATGTCAGTGGTGATATTATTGCTCAGGAAGAAAGATTTTTTTTTCAAATATCTTTGCTGATGTCGGTGATATTATTGCTCAGGAAGAAAGATTTTTTTTTTTTTTAATGAAATAAGGATACAGGATATCCTAGCTAATCACAGTACATACCATTTTTTAATTAATTATTTGCAAACATTTAAATATGGTTGTAGCTATGTACAATGAAACAACAGAGAACAGAGTGCAGTGTTTCATGCATTCTCTCTCTCAAATTCAATAGAAAAGTTTCAAATTATTAATTTGAGTTGCATGTATTAAGTAGAGCTAGTTGGGAATTTTCTGACAGAACATACTTTTCATTGGAAAATGGTGATTTGCCAAAACTTCGTTGAGGCATTGGATTTCAATTCAATTTTTGTTGGGAAGGTTTCTCAGGTGGAGATGGAATTTCTAGTGAAAACAAGAAGGGTGTGTGTCAAGCATATACACAAACCATCTCTTTCTCCTTTCTCCTCCTCTTTCTTCAAAATATTTTAATGCACAGTTTCTGACAAGCCAGGTTTATTAGGCTATAGTTGATGCAGAATTAAGCCACAGTAGTATTAAATTAGAGTAAGTATTTACTAAAATGGTAAATTGAGTTTTTCTTCATCCAGTATGAAATTTTTGAAGTCACAAGACTCTTTTTAAATATAAATTATTCAAATAAAGAGATTTAATCAATCGGTTCTCAGAAAAAATTGTAATGTGATTTTCTAAATAGTAAGATTTCCAACATGAAATATTTCAATTAAAAATGTTAGAAATATTTATACTAGACAATGTTTTTGAAAAACATGTTAACGTGTGAAAGGATCACAGTGATATTACAATACCAAATTTGGATAAACTGTCATCTCTAATGTCCTGTAGTGTTTGCTTTTAGATATTTAAATCACATGTAAATCCTTCCTATCTCCCTAGACAACATCTCTAATATGTTCAGCTAGGGATGTTAAATATTGGTTAATTGAATAGTTGATTAATCCCATGAATTCTTATCGGTTAATTGACTATTCTATAGTCCCCGGGGGTGGGGCCGGCAGCTAGTAAGTACTCCAGCCCCACTCCCAGGGAGCCCTCTGCCACTCCATGCTGCTGCCGCTCTATCAGAGGCAGCAGTGCGGTGTGCCAAGCAGGAGCTGTTCTGCAAGAAGAGACAGTTTAAAAACCAACTTCCCTCACGGACCATCTGCCTGCCACCCCATGCTGCTGCCTCTGGTATACCCACATCCTGAGTACTGCGTACAGATGTGGTCATCACCTCTCAAAAAAGATATGTTGGCATTGGAAACCACCTCTCAAAAAAGATATATTGGCATTGGAAAAGGTTCAGAGAAGGGCAACAAAAATGATTAGAGATTTGGAACAGGTCCTATTCGGGAATTCAAAAGACTTGGACTTTTCAGCTTAGAAAAGAGGAAACTAAGGGAGGATATGATAGAGGTCTATAAAATCATGACTGATGTGGAAAAAGCGAATAAGAAAAAGGTAGGGTACGTCTACACTAGCTCGTTAGTTCGAGCTAAGTAGGGTAATTAAGGCAAGCGGAGTTGCAAATGAATGAGGAGTAATGGTAGTTCGAATTAGGATCTTTAATTTAACTACCTACTCCGTGCCGTGTGTAGCCGCGGTCATGGAGTTTGGACTAAGGGGGATTTAAAAATGGCGGCGCCCAGGAACATGCAAATGAAGCCCAGGATATTTAAATCCCGGGCTTCATTTGCAACTCCGCTTGCCCTAATTACCCTACCTAGCTCGAACTAACGAGCTAGTGTAGACCTACCCTTAGTTATTTACTTGTTCCCATAATATAAGAACTGGGGGTCACCACATGAAATTAATAGGTAGAAGGTTTAAAACAAACAAAAGAAAGTTTTTCTTCACTCAGCACATAGACAACCTCTGAAACTCCGTGCCAGAGGATTTTGTGAAGACCAGGACTTTAACATGGATCAAAAAAGTGCTTGGTAAATTCATGGAGATTAGATCAGTGGCTATTAGCCAGGATGGGTAGGAATGGTGTCCTTAGCTTCTGTTTGTCTGGAAATGAATGACAGGAGACAGATCACGTGATGATTACCTGTTGTGTTCACTCCCTTTTGGGCACCTGGTACTGTCCACTGTCGGGAGACAGGATATTGGGCTGCATGGACCTTTGGTCTGACCCAGTATGGCCATTCTTATGTTCTTATAGAGGCAACAGCACAGGGTGGCAGCAGCCCCCGTCCGGAGCAAGGTCTGAGCTCCCAATCCCAGTATGAGCCGAAAGTGAGCCGGGCTGCCTGCCCGCCTGGGTCCTAGTATGCTTTAAATGCAGAGCTGCAGCAGAGGTAGGTCCCGGACCTGGTGCAAGTCGGGACTGTGCCATGCTGCTGGCCAGCCTGCTAAAAAATGTACTGGCAGGGAGTGAGGGGGAAGACATGAGTGTAGTCTATAGCATTAACCTAGCATAATCGCTTTGAGCAAACACTGGCACTGTTCTATAAAGATGACAATGCTAGTGTTCAGGAATTTATTACAATGATTATACAAGAGAGGTACTGCCTTTTTGTATGCTAGTTATCAACAGTTCCAACCCTGGGCAGATTAGTCAAGTGCTGCTAATAAGAAATGATTTACCAAAGCAATGCAGCATTTCTAATCATGGACATTGACTTTTGAAATAGGCAGGGCTCGACAAATAATGCAATCGACTCACCCGGGGCGAGTAGATTGCAACCTGGAAGAGCCGGGTTCGGGCGATCTGCGCATGCGCAGAACGATCTGAGCATGTGCAGATCGCCGGACAGCGCAGATGGCGAGCCCTGGAAATAAGGATGTTAAGTATGGTTAGTTAAATAGTCAAGTAACCTCAAAAATTCTTATCAGTTAGTTGACTATTCTATAGTCCCTGGAGGTGGGACCGGCAGCCAGTGCATTCCGGCCTCACTTCCTGAAGATCCCCCTGCTGATCTACACTGCTGCCTCTGTATCAGAGGCAGCAGTGCAAGATGCCAGGCAGGAGCTGGTATGTGAGGGGAGCCAGTTTAAAAACCAGCTTCCCTCACGCATCGGTTGCCTTTCGCCCTGTGCTGCTACTTCTGATAAAGAGACAGCAGCGTGGGGTGGCAGCAGCCCCTCTCTAAGGTGGGCCTGAGCTCCCGAACCTGATGCGAGCCAGATCTGAGCGGGGCTGCCTGTGCATCTGGTTTCTAATACACTTTAAATGCAGAGCTGCAGCAGGGATAGGTTCCAGACCCATTTCAAGCCAGAACTGAGCCAGACTTCTGGCCAACCTGCTAAAAAATTGGGGGGAAATGCATGTAGTCTATAGCATTAACCTATAAACTTTGCTTATTAGTTAATCGACTATACTATTACATCCCTATTTTGAAACACATGAAGGATCTTCATATTATTATGAATAGAACTATAATAAAACATCTCTCTCTCCTCCCCAATTTTCTGAAGGAGAAAGTCAGTCTTAGGAAGTGTGTTCAAACAAAAATTAATTGTGCATCTTGAAAGAGCTGGATTTTTTTTTTAACCTTTTCTTGCAGACATGGGGCATGGACACGAGCATGGTCATGGGAAAATGGAGCTCCCTGATTATAAACAATGGAAGATAGATGGTACTCCGCTACAGGATGTCCAAGAAAGACTGGCTAGGAGGGGTCTCAAGGATCCATGGCTTCGGTAAGTGAGAGAATACATCATTCAGATACATAAATATATACACACACTCTTCCTATAACCTTATCATTGTGGATGGTCCTTTTTAGCTAAAAGGCTAGAAAAACACCTAGAGCAGGGGTAGGCAATAATTTTTGATGGGGGATCACTCCAATAATTTGGTAAGTGGTCAAGGACAACACACTTCTGTAATATAATAATGGAGACCTGGGAGATGGGTCAGAAATGAGAGGGAGCATGGGCTATAATAGTAAAGATAAAGGAGGGATAAGGCAGAATGGGGGTGGAGGGCAAAATCAAATCTGTATTTTAGTTGTCTGTATACAAATACAAGAAGTATGGGGAATAAGCAGGAAGAACTTGAAGTGCCAGTAAATAACACAACTTGGACATAGTTGGTATCATAGGGACTTGGTGGGATAATACACATGATTGGATTATTTGCTATAGAAGGGTACAGCTTGCTCAGGACAGGCAGGGAGAAAAGGAAGGATGTGTTGCTTTTTATATTAAAAATTGATACACTAGGACTGAGGTTGAGATGGATATAGGAGAAGTTAAAAGGGGTAAAAGACAAGGGTGATGTCATGCTAGAGGGTCTAGCCAGGAAGAAGAGGTGGTCTTTCTTTAAACAACTAACAATATCATGTAAAGCACAGGACTTGGTGGTGATAGGGGACGTCAACTAGCCAGACATCTGTTTGGAAAATAACACAGTAGGGCAAAGATTATCCAACAAGTTCTTGGAATGGATTGGAAACAAGTTTTTTTTATTTCAGAGCTATTAGGGGTAAGCTGTTCTAGATATGATTTTAACCATGAGGGAGGAACTGGTTGAGAATTTAAAAGTGAAAGGCAGCTTGAGTAAAAGTGATCACAAAATCACAGAGTTCATGATTCTAAGGAATGGTAGGAAAGAGAAGAGCAAAATAAAGACAATGGATTTCAGAAAGGCAGACGTGAGTAAACTTAGAGAGCTGGTTGGTAAGATCCCATGAGAAGCAAGACTAAGAAGAAAAACAATTGAAGACAGCTAGCAGTTTTTCAAATGGACCATATTAAGAGCCCAAGAGCAAACTGCATAGGAAAGTTAGGAAGTAAGGCAAGAGACCACCTTGGCGTAACCAGGAGATTGTAAATTATCTAAAAATCAAAAAGGAGTTGTATAAAAAGTGGAACCTAGGTTAAAGTACAAAAGATGAATATAAGCAAATAACACAGGTATGCAGGGGCAAAATTAGGTGAAGGCAGAAAACAAGCTCAATCTAGCTAGAGATATAAACAAGAAAATATTCTACAAATATATTAGAAGCAAGAGAAAAACCAAGGACAAGATAGGCCCATTGCTCAGCGAAGCAGGAGAAACAATAACAGAAAACGTGGAAATGGCAAACGTGCTTAACAACTTCATTTCAATTTTCACCAAGAATATTGGTGGTGACTGGATGCCTAATATAGTGAATGCTAGTGGAAATGGGGTAGTTTAAAAAAGGGATGTAAAATTTTGATTAATTGGCTAATCAAATAGTCGATGTAATTTGCATCGACTATTCAATTAGTCGATAAGGGCACCTCCACCTTTGAAGGGTAGCAACAGCCTCAGTGCTGTTGCTATACTTCAAAGGCAATAGTGCTGCGGGGAGCCCGGGGCCAGCGGGGGACTCAAGCAGTCCCCGCTGTCCCCATACTCCCCATGGCATTTCAAAGCAGTAGCACTGCATGGAGCCCAGAGTCAGTGGGGGAGTCCCCAGCCGACCCCAGGCACCGTGAAGTGCTGCTGCTTTGAAACATCACATGCAGCCCAGGGCCAGCTGGGGAAACCGGGCTGCACATGGCATTTCAAAGAGGTAGTGCCGCCTTTTCTTTTTTTCCCCTCCCCTGTTGCCTCTTTCTCATAGAGGCAGCAAGGATTATGGGGAAGCGACTAGTTGACTAATCGTTCACATTCCTAGTTAAGAAGTTAAAATAGGAAAAGATGGGGCTACTATAAGGTACATAACTGACTGGATAACTGTTCTCAGTGAGTAGTTGTTAATGGTTCACAGTCATGCTGGAAGGGTATAACAAGTGGGGTTCTGCAGGGGGTCAGTTATGGGACGGGTACTGTTCAATATCATCAATCGTTTAGATAATGGCAGGGGGCAGCAACTTTTTCAAAGTAAAGAGTCAAGCTACATCAAAATACAGAACAAGTGGTCAACAAAGAGCCGTATAAGAATGCCCATTTGCATTACTGAAAATATACTACTTAATATTATTGATAATTGACATAATGTTTAATACAAGCATGAATGAAACATTGTACTCACAGACTTTATTTAATGGGACTTCTGCTGCTGCATCTTTTCACACATTTCTTTGAAGTTTACATCATAACTGGTCAAATCCAGCTTCATGCACACATTCAGGCTATCTTCTGTCAATCTTATGGCAGGGGGTTGGGGATGTGGTTGTGTAGGAGTCTGGATTGGAGTGTTTGAGGGGCTCAGAACAAAGAGTTCAGGTGTGTGATGGACTAAGGGCATAAGCCTGGGGTATGTGTGGGATGCAGGAGTATTACGGCAAGAGGCTGAGGTTGTGGTGGTGCAGGAGTCTGGGTATGTGGGGGTATGAGGGGCTCAAGGCATGGGGTTTGGATGTGTGATGGGCTCAGGGCTGGGGGGTAAGGAGGTGCAGGAATGTTATGATGCTGCAGCCAGATGGGGGCTGGGCCCCAATTGGGAGCTTGTTGGCCAGGCTTCATTTTTAAACAAAGTAAAATATTATGCTCTACACAAAAGGTTTCAACATTTGTCTTTATTTATGGCAGGAGTTTGGAATCTTTTTTGGGGGCCATTGAGTTTGGGTGAAGGCGTGCCCCTAGGCACAGGATCGGGGTACAGTTGTGATCTAGGGCAGGGGATTACAATGCAGGGATTTGCATTGGACGTAGGGCAGGAAGGATTGTGTTCTGGGGCAGGAGATTGTGGTGCAGTGTGTGGGAGGGGGCATGGGCTCAGGAGGGGGGGCAGAGGGTTTGGGTTATGTGAGGTAGTGGGATAGGAGTGGGGGGTCAGGAGGTTAGGGGGAGGGAGAGGCTGGGGTGCCAGAGGCAGGGTCTGACAGGGACACTTACCAGTGAGACTTCAGGCCAGAAGCTCAGCACATTTCTCCAGCAGGAGCCTCCCTGTCCCCATCTCCAGGCTGCCTGGCCATGTGCTCGGTGACTAAGAGCCTGAGGAGAGGAGTAGTGGTGCTTCCTGCGCTGCCTGTTCTTGAAACAGGCAACTTCCTTTGGCCAGAACTGTACAATGGGATTGTGCTGGTGGCGGGAACAGCCTTAAGGCACCACTTCCCCCTCCCCTCCCTGCTCACAGTGTGTGAAAACCAAAGGACCCCACAACTGTTTTTCTGCACGCATGTGGGGTAAGCAGGGGAGTCTGCCTGGGGCTCCCTGCTGTGTCCGCAGCTGGATTGTTTTGCCCAGGCCTGCTGCAGCATCAGTGCTCCCTGCTGCTGGGGGGAGCATGGTGGGGCTGGGTTCGAGCTTCGAAGAGCCACATCTGGCTCGGCTTGCGAGCCATAGGTTGCCAATCCCTAGCACTTATAACGTTTGCAGATGACACCAAACTGGAAGGTGTTTCAAGTGCTTTGGAGGATAGGGTCATAATTCAAAATGAACTGGAGAAACTGGAGAAATGGTCTGGGGTGGACAATAATTTTTTTGGGTGGGGGAGGGCCTCTCCAAGATTTTGGTAAGTTATCAAGGGCTGCACTTTTCTGTGGAGGAGATATAGGGTCTAGGATGGAGGCCGGGTACAGAAGGGCGCACGAGATAAGTGACTAGGGTACAGGAGACGTTTGGGTGTAGGAAAGGATTCTGGCCTGGGGGAGGGATGTAGAAGGGACACAGGGTCTGGGAAGGAGTTGTGACCTGGGGAAGGGGGTGCAGAGGGTTTGGATGGTGACCTGGTGGAGGGCATAGGGGTGCCAGAGGCAGGCTCTGGCTGGAGGGGTGCTTACCCAAGCATTTCCCTCTCTGCAGCATCCCCAAGGCAGGCTGAGCTCTCTACAGCTCTAGATAGCTTAAAAATACAGGTTGCTCCCTGCACATGGCTCTCAACTCTGGGTGAGGGAAGAGGCTTGCTTCAGGCCAATTTCTCAGCTCCGATTGGACTGTTTCCAGCCAATAGGATCTGAGAGATTGGCTGAGATCAGTTTTTATTGGCTGGTTGTTTCTGGCCAATAGGAGCTGAGGATTGAGCTGGGGGCAGGGAGATCACACGGAAGTTTCCCCTCTTCATGCAGAGCAGAGAAACATAAGGACTGCACTTTAAACTGGAGCAGCTGTATGCCTGAGGATCCCAGCAAGGTGGTCTACAGGCCAAATCTGGCCCCGGGCCATATTTTGCCCAGCCCTAGATAAGTAAGATGAAGTTTAATATGGACAAATGCAAAGTATTCTACTTAGGAAGGCACAATCAGTTTCATACAGACAAAATGGGTAGTTTTGTCTCTGTTCAGGAAAACAAATAAGTTTCAGGTTAAATCCCATTGATTTCAATGAAATTTAAGTACAGTATATGTTTAATTGCTTTGTTTAATTGGAACAGGATTATTTGTGCTCTTATAGTCAAGATTGTGATTGTGTTTTGCTGAATTGGAGCCTTTAATTGACGCTTTTAACTGTAGTAGGAGGTGACTTGGCATTTTGTTTTATATTTGCTAGGCAATTCATGAAGATTATATAGAGAACTGTTAAGATAAATCCAGTTGTGGAAAACCTGATCGTGATCCCTGAACTGGACTCCCTAGAGGTAGTCTACATAGATAGCTATAGAGATAGGGCTTTGATTTGAGTCAAAATGGGAGGAATATATAACATTCTCCTTTACCATTCTTCAGCCTTCAGGAATGAAAAAAGAATGTTCCATTTTCCCATTCTACAGAAAGACAAGGGAAAAGTGTATTTTCTTATTGAAGGTGTATTATGTGATCATTTAATATTGTAGTTGAAAGTTGGATAAGACATATGCGTAAGGGGACTTAGTATTGTTTGACTTGAGTGTTTAACTATGAAAATCTTACATTTTCAGCATAGCTTTTGCGAATGTTTAACTTTTTGCATATAAATACATTTGTGTTAGCATATGGAATCAGAATGGATGTCCTGAATTTGTTCTCTCTCTTGGTTTTGATTTTTCCTAGCAATGAAGCATGGAGATATATGGGTGGCTTTACAAAACCTGTCACACTTACAGAAGTTCTCACCAAAGGTTTCAAGTGGGGATTTGTAGCCTTTGTGGTAGCTCTTGGGATTGAATACACACTGTTCCCTCCAAAGAAAAATGGAGGACATCACTAAAGATGGAATAATAGAACTTCTCGAAAGTTGTTTACACAGTTCTAAATTAAAACATGTTATGCAATGGCTTATAACTTTTGTTGCATACGTAAAGATGCCTATTAAAATTTCTTATTGGCAAAAGGTTATCACTGTGGTTTTGTCATCTTTTCTTGGCTCAAATATAAACCTGATTTGATTAATGGGAAAACAAGATCCAGCTGCGATGGTATGTTGCCTCACTGAACTAGTGAGGAAAATAGGTATTGATACTTTTCCAACTTGAAATTCCAAAAGATGCTACTTGTACCTTTTTGTACTGCTCTTCACAATACTATCACCCCTCTTTTCTTGCAAACTTTAATCAGATGTGAAATAGTGAACAGATCAAAAGTTAACTCAGACTAGCCATGAGGTCAACTGGAGCAGCCCTCAGAAGTGTTACTCCTGGCTGCCTAAAAACTTAGGTTGACATCACAGTTGCTTCACACCTTTAAGGTTATCTGTGCAAACAAATGGCTAAAAACTTTTTTTAGTGCAAACTTAGATTCTGGAGCACACGTAATTTCTAAAAACATCCTATTAACCCCTGACACAGGCTTGTCTTCACTTCAGTAGTTGGTTCAAGTTAGTATACAGGCAGTCCCCGACTTACGCAGATCCGACTTATGTCGGATCCGCACTTACGAACGGGGCTTTCTCGCCCCGGAGGTCGAGGTAGCGGATTGCTACCTGCGAGCTCCGGGGCGAGAGAGCCCCATTCGTAAGCTGCTCTGGTGCCCCTGGTCTGCTGGAGACCGTCTCCAGCAGACCAGGGGCACCGGGCAGGTTCCCACGCTTCTGAGGCTTTGCCAGAGCAAAGCCTCAGAAGCGCGGGAAC